CAGTGAGGTGGGAGGGGCGGATAGGTGGGAGAGAGGACACAACCTGTCCATCTTCTCTCCCACCTATCCACTCCTCTCACCTCACTGACCAATCCCCACCACTCCCTACCTGCACTCCCCTATCACTATCACACCTACCTTCCCCAGCTCCACCCCTTCTCTCTATTTATTTCTGAGCTCCCTTCCCCCTCCCCCATATTTGAACTCAGATAGCGATACAGATTATATTGCACAGGGCGTGTGCTAGGTGAAGTCAATGTTAGCAAGATCAATCATTATTTGTGGCTAGAGAGTCCACTCATCAGTCTAATAACGGCTGGGGAGAAGCTGTTCCTGAACCTGCTTGTGCATGTGTTCAGGCTTCTGTATCTTCTGCCTGATGGAAGAGGTTGTAGGAGATCACTACCAGGGTGCAATGGGTCTTTGATGTTGGCCGCTTTTCTGCGGCAGTGAGCCATGTAAATGGAGTCCATGGATGGAAGGTTGGCTTCTGTGATGGTCTGGGCTGTGCACACCACCATCTGTAGTTTCTTACGGTCCTGGCAGAGCAGTTGCCATACCAGGCCGTTATGCACCCAGACAGTATGTTTTCTATGGCGCATCTGTAGAAGTTGGTGAGGGTTGCTATGGACATGCCAAATTTCCTGAGCCGCCTGAGGAAGAGGAGACATTGTTGTGTCTTCTTGACTGTCGCATCTACGTGGGAAGTCCAGGACAGGTTGTCGGTTATCGTCACTCCGAGAACTTGATGCTCTTCACTCTCTCACCCTCAGTTCTGTTGAAGTAGATGGGGGCGCATTCCCCTCCTTTCTTTCTGAAGTCGATGATCAGTTCTTTAGTTTTGCCAACGTTGAGAGACAGATTGTTTTCATTGCACCGCGTCACCAAGTCCCCTATCCCCCTTCTGTATTCTGACTCGTCGTTGTTAGATATCCGTCCCACTATGGTGGTGTCGTGAGTGAACTTGTAGATGGCGTTTGTTCAGAATTTGGCAACACAGTGGTAGGTGTACAGGGAGTACAGTAGGGGGCTGAGGACACATCCTTGGGGGCTCCAGTGTTGTGTTATTGTGGAGGAGGTGCAGTTACCTATCCTCACTGATTTGTAGCAAACTGGGTTTTAGTTTATTGTCACTCTGAAGGATTGAGAAAGTAGCACTGTAATGGAGTATCAGCTTTGGTTTGGTTCCCTGGTCTTGGAGTGGGGTTATATATAGGATTCCTGAGAAATGTATGTGTCCTTTGTATTAAGTATCAATCCTCAGTCACCACATTTACTAAAGAGAGATGGTTACAGGATATACAAATACATATGTGCAGTTAAGTAGCATGGTGGGGTGGAGGTCACCTTGTTGGTGTCAAAATAACTTGCACTTTTCTTGCAGTAAGTGCCTACACAAGGTCAGCATTGATGTTTCTAATAACTTCCATGAAATTGTGAGAGTGCACGAATGGGTTAGAATTTGTAGGTCAGGGCTATCACATTTACTGAAAATTGTACTGTGCACTTTGTCCACTTAAGGCTACCTTACACACAGCTACCATCAGAAGGAGTCTGGTAAAAGGAGATGGTAAAGGCCCAGAGTTTTTCTGCTTCCACCTGTTTCTGTTGAATATATAACACATTCTTGAGACAGAAGCTAACATTTCACTCAGATCAGGTAGTACCCAGAACCTCCAAATTACTTTCCGGCTCTAAAACATATTTCCCTCTTTTCCAAATAACCAAATGAAAATAAATTGTCAAAATTCATTGTTAGAAAATATTTCTATTTTGCCAGAGTATTGGTTATGGATGTTGAATTGTTCTTTGTCATGTTTGAGTTTGTGCGATGATTGAGCTGCCATGGATGTGAGGGTGACCTAGGACAGATGTGCACAACATACCACGACAGTGGATCTCCTGACGGGAGAAGCTACAAAACAACGGCAACAATGGTGAAGGGTCTGGACCCGAAGCGTCAGCCTTCCTGCTCCTATGATGCTGCTTGGCCTGCTGTGTTCATCCAGCTCTACACCTTGTTATCTCGGATTCTCCAGCATCTGCAGTTCCTACTGCCTCTGCAACAATGGTCTGTTGTTTGTAGGAGTCTGCCATTTGCAAATTGGCTGCCACGTTTCCCACATTATAACAGGGGCTGCACTTCCAAAGTACATTATTGGCTATAAAGCACTCTGAGACATGCAGTGTTTGTGAGAAGTGCTGCATTAGTGCAAGTCCTTCTCTCTTTTCTTTTAATGTCCGTGCTTCTGGAACCCTGCCCAAATTTGGAATGAAGACTGCTCTTGGGAAGATTCTCGAGGACATTTTCCTAAGCGTGAGCTGTTCATTTCTGGAGAAATTGGGATAAGAAGGTGAGAATGATGCATTTCCATCTCAGTTCTTTCTGTGCCAGCTGTCCTCTTGTCTTTCACCATCTTGTGAAAGGGAGAAGTCAGATTGAAAAGTGACACCGGTGTACCTTGTGCTGGCGTCTTACAGTGTAGCTGAAAAATTATTGTCCACATACACTGTTGTTGTTTCCTGTGTAATACAATAGTTCCCTTCATCTGTTACAGGAAGGTGCCCTCAAAACTCTCTCAACTGATTGAACGACTGCAAGTGAATGCGGATAATGTGGAGAAGAATATCTACAAGGTGGAGGAGTGCCTGCTCCAGGTAAGTTTACAAACTGGCACCAATTCGTAACTGCTCAAAGGGTGACCTGCCATCCATACTAAATTGATTTTCCCCATCTCAGTCGTTCTCCATGGGTTACACCCTGTTCTAAAGTCTTGTGTTGGTTGACAAGGGTGTGTGTGTGTGTTTGTTTTTTTTCTCTTTCATTATCTCCACGCAGATATGTCCTAGTGAAACCCCACCCTGCATTGTGTTAATCCTAACACTCCAAGGTGTTCAGAGGGAACTGGAGTCATTGATTTATGGCATCAGCTCTTTCTTAAGCCAATTGCTTGTCACCATTAGTCATTTTCATAATTTAAGAATGAGTCAACCAATACTCCAAGATGCATGTGCTGATTTAGTGTTACCCTGAACCTATTTTTAATAATTCTGTGGGGAGTAGCTGAAGTACAAATTCCAGTTGTTTCACAATCATTTGATTTGTTGGAACCCCTGGGTGAGGGCTCAATTCCTTTCATTTGCATACAATTATTTTATTGCTGTTTTTAATGCAGTTGTCCATTCATTGGTTTTAAATAGTTACAAATTTTTTTCTAAAAGGAACTTACAAATAAACACAATGCAATGGTTTAACCTGGTTAAAGGATATTAAGCCCATTTTAAAAAATACAGATGTTGGAGACACTCTAGACACCATGGCAGCGTCTATCGACACAACTGATAAGTTAGTATTAATACTTTGTCAAAATTCATCCATGAGATTGCATAGGATTTACATTTTTTGTTTGCAAAAATATACTTTATTCATTAAAAAAATCTTTATCCACATTCATAGGTATCAAAGCAGTTCGGTACAGTCATTACACATCAAGCAAAACAAACATTGGAATTTGACATTCTCTGCAGTTGCAGAAACCAAAGGCGTTTCTTTCTTGCGCAGGACAGTATTTACATACATTGAGGTGAAGATTATAATCTTAAATTGGGAAACTGACTAATGGTCACAAGCAGTTGGCTGAGACATAGGACATAGGATGTGGAATCCGCAGTATAGAAACAGGGCATTTGGGCCGACGGCACTGCACTGGAATTCATACTCCACACAAATTGTCCCCACCCCCTGCCCCCACCACCCAACCCCCAATCCGCCCTATCCTACATTCCTTTTATTCCTTCATGCATGCATCAATCTCCTTCTGAAGTGCAGCAATACCGTCTGTACTTATGGAAGGATCAAGAACGAAAGGGCACAGATTTAATGCGATTTGTAGAAGAGGCAGAAGTGACATGAGGATAATCCTCTACATACCATGCGAGCAGCTAGGCCCTGAAATGTACTGCTGGAGAGCGTGGGTGGGGGCAGATCCGATTGATGCTTTCAAAAGGGGTTAGAAGATGGTTGTTTGAAAAAGAACGTGCAGCAGTACAGGGAGATGGCACTGAGTGGGATCCTCACTCGGAGAGCCAGGGTAGACACGATGGGCTGAATGGCCCCCTCAATTTCAGTGATGCTTCAGCCACCCCAAGTGGTTGGAAATTCTATGCTGTACCAGCAAGCTGCATCAGGAATTCCTGCCCAGTGATATGTTTGATCTGCTCTCTTCTATCAGTGCTCGCTTGTTCTAGATTCCCCCAGTAGTGAAAACAGGGGAACGAGCCTGTGACACAGCACTTCCAGAGGCAGACATGCTCAGCAATTCTGGAACAATCGAGTTGGAATGATCCTGAGGAAATAGGGAGCAGTGTCGGCAGACCAGCATTCTGACAATTATTCCCACTCCTCAGAAGAACTGGGCCAAATTTCTTTATTTCTAACTCTTGCCAAAGCACTTCTGTTATTGGCTTCTGGATCTTCTCATGATGGCGTACTTTTGAAAAGGCTCATTGCCTATTATCCCAATACTGCACTGGTGTAGGGATCGTCCTCTGTCAAAGTCAAAAAACAGTTTACATTTAGACAAAGTAGTCTTTGCTCAAAACAAATCCCGATAAGGATCACGAAAGAAAATCTGATTGCTTTTGTTTTAATGTTTTCAAATCTGATTTGAATCATTTGAAGTGGCAGCGCAGAAACAGCTGTGATTCTGAAATCTGATCTGTTATGGTTACCTGAGGTTTTGTTACAAAGTTTTTTTTTGATTAATATCTGAACTTTCCTCATGGAACGAGATTGCATGTGGAGAAGGGTATTCCATCGACAGAAACACATCCCCACTTTTTTCTTGATGGAAAGAATTTTCAAGGATTGAAATCCTTGTCTTGAATAGATTTAATTGCCGGTTCTTCTTTCTAGGATATCAGGAGGATAGAGGATGGGAAAGACTTCATATTCCGTGAGGAAACTACCAAGTTGATGGATGATTCTGATAACCTGCTGGTAGACCTTCAGAGAGATGCTCAGACAGCCAATGCTGAGAAGCATCCACAGTCTGACATGATTGTGGAAGAGTAAGTGAATTTTTTTTTTTGTTACGGTAATTGGAATAAATACAAATGGTTAGACCCTGCAAATACGGGATAATTGAAGGTAGACCGTTACTCCTTCCGTCACGGTAATTATAGAGAATCCAAATATTACAGAATTATGTAGGAAGAGGAAAAGGCCATTCAGCCCCTTGAGCTGGTTCTGCCATTCAGTGGGATCAAGGCTGATCAGTGTGCAAACTCCATATACCTGCCTTTGGCCCATATCTGTTAATACTTTTGCTTAACAAAAAAAGTGATCTATCTCAGGTTTAAAATTAATGACTGATCTGGCAATCTTTGTTGTTTATGAAAGAGAGTTCCAAACCTCAACCACCCGTTGTGCGTGGAAATGCTTCCTAACATCTCTCCTGAACAGTCTGGCCCTAATTCTCAGACTATGTCCTCTAGTTCTAGAATCCCTTAAACAGTGAAAATAGTTTATCTTCATCTAGCCTGTCTTTTCCTGTTAATGCCTTGAAGTCTTTGATCAGATCACCCCTTCACCCTCAAAATTCTAGAGAAAATTTGTATAATCTCTCTTCTTAGCCTGACCCCTGAAGTCTAGATATCATTCTTGTAAATCGTAAATCATAGATCATAGAATCCCTACAGTGTGGAAACAGGCCCTTTGGCCCAACAAGTCCACACCAACCTCCAGAGCATCCTACCCAGACCCATACCCCTCTAACCTGCACATCCCTGCACACTATGGACAATTTAGCATGGCCAATCCACCTAGCCTGCACATCTTTGGACTATGCTGTACTACCCCCAAGGCCAATGTATTCTTAGTTACAGCACCAAATTGGGCCATTCTGCCCAAAAAGTCCCTGCCAGCCTTTAGGCTCCACATGAAACTCCTCCCAGTCTGCTTCATCTTGTTCTATCGATATCTCTTCCCATTCTTTGCACTCATACTCTTACCTAGCTTGTAGCGGTGTTGTCACTGGGTTATTAATTCAGTTACGTGTTCAACGATTCCGACCTCTGGCGACTGTCTGTGTGGAGTTTGCACATTCTCCCCGTGTCTGGATGGGTTTTCTCTGGATTCTCCAGTTTCCCTCCACAGTCCAAAGATGTGCAGGTTAGGATGGATTGGCCATGGTAAATTGCCCCATAGTGGTCAGGGATGTGTAGGTTGGGTGCGTTGGCTATGGCAAATGCAGATTTCGGAGGGTCGGTGTGGATGTGTTGGGCTAAATGGCCTATTTCCGCACTGTGGGGTTCTATGATGATTCTGAAATCCCATCATGGCAGCTAGTGGATTCAAACTCAGTTCATGAATCTGGAATTACTAGTGCTAATCAGTAATGTTATTATTGTTAATCAGTAATAGTCATTACAAAACTATTATCGATCATAAAACCCCATCTGGTTCACTATTCTCCTTTTAGGGAAAGGAATCTGCCATTCTTACCTGACCTGGCCCACATGTGACTCCAGACCCACAGTAATGTGCTTGCCTATTGACTGCCTCTGAGATGACCAATCAAGCCATTTGGTTCAAGGGCAATTTTTTATTCATTCATGGTGGGGCATCATTGAGGGCAGTTAAGAGTCAACCACATCACTTTGGGTCTGGAGTCACCCATAGGCCAGACCAAGTAAGGATGGCAGTTTCCTTCCCTAAGGGACCCAATGGGTTTTTTCCTCCCGTACAATTGGCAATGGACTCATGGTCATCATCAGACTCTTAATTTCACATTTTTATGGAATTCAGGTTCCACCATCTGCCGTAGTGGGATTTGAACCTGTGTCCCCAGAACATTACCTGGATTAACAGCCCTGCGATAATACCGCTGAGCCTTCAACTCCCCAGTTGGCAATGGCCACAGATGTTGTAATGCATCACATTCCATTAACGAATAGAGAAAAGGAGCACATCAACGCTGTTCAGTTCAACCCTTCCATGAAGTGAAGTTGCTCCTGATTTCCTTGTGGGATTTATTTTCCTGAAGGGATGGGAAATGATGAGGAGTGGACAGTGGCAATGGTGGGGGTAAATTACCCGCAGGGCTGTGATTCCATGACGGCCAGAAACCCATCATGAACCAGAATCCTCATTTACAAATGATGGAATTTGTCACAGGAACAGGAAGCCAGCCTAAATTTCACCTATTATTTAGCTTAAAGGTGTTACAGCACCCAGCAATGATAAAATCCAACCACCTGTGTTCCACATAACCATGGCATACTAAGTCATGAGGACAGCTGCAACATATTCTCCCCAAATGGCTTCAGTTGTTGGGGAATTCGGGCAGGAGAGTGGAATTGAGTCTGAGATGATGATATTGAATGACGCAGCAGGCTCGAGGGGCTAACTGGCCTACTCCTGCCCCTAGCTATTATGTTCTTATGCTGAGGTAATAAAAGGCAGTGAGAGAAGGACTCGGGTTGTGGTTGCTAATAAACTGACAGTAAAAGAAAGCATTTCTGAAGAAGGGTCTAGACCCGAAACATCAGCTTTCCTGCTCCTCTGATGCTGCTTGGCCTGCTGTGTTCATCCAGCTCCACACCTTGTTATCTCAGTAAAAGAAAGCTGTTTCTTTTCAGTATCAAGCAGTTGAAACAAAGAGTGCAGAAGCTGCGATCGGAACATGACAAGGTTTACAACTTGACCCGGACGGATGGAATTCCTACGATTGACTGGTCCAAAATGATCGATGAGAAACAAGTAGGCACAAAACCCATCTTCCAAACTTCTCAACACATCCTCTAGTTAAGGCTTCATCATAGCAGTTGGTTTCAGAGGTGTTGTGAGGAACTTGTGTTATACTGCATGGAACAGGGTAAACACGGATTGCAGAATCTTTGTGAATCTAACCTGGTCTGTTTTAGAAAGTAGCACCTCTCTATCAACCGCTTGATGGGCTTCCTAAAGTGACAGGAGAATTTTTGAACATCTTCATCCTAGTTTGTGGACCTGTAAACATTTTGGAATATTTCTGCCACCGGTGCCAATTTTAGCCCAGTTTGGTGGTTGAGGGACACACTGGGTCTGGTGGAGCACCAAATGTGCTCACGATGCACTGAGAGCAGGGTTGGGGCAACACCCAACATAACCCCTTTTGTCCCCCAACAAGTGGCTCAGGTTAAAATTGCTCTTAACTTCTCGTGTCCTGTCCTGTGTGTGGAATGTGAAAGCTACAAGGTTGTAGTCGAAGAGAGGTGGTGATGATGGTGGGCCAAAGGTTAAGTGTCTCCCGTTCTGAAAGCACTAATGTACTGATGCTACGTTAACTGGGAAGTATACTATGTACACACAATGGATGTTGGCAGTATTGTCCGTCCTGAAGGTTTTGTATGTGTGAAAGCATATAACGAGGAAGGTGTGTTGATATCAAAATCCATTCTCCTGTGATTTATTCCCCTTGGACCTCCTCCTGCTCATACCTTGGTGGAAATGAACTAATTGCAGTTACTTCGAAAACCCAGAGGAGATTTGCCCCAGTGGCTGACAGTTGCATTCTGCCTTTCTCACTGTCTCGCTGTCAGAGTTCTGTTTTCTTGGTGGCGGCCCTCTTGAATAAAATCAATTTCAATCTCAAATGCAAACCCATAGCATATACGTTTGTGTGAGTCAGTTCATTGACCCTCCGGGATACATGACCCTGTCAATCCCCTGTTCACATGTGGACAACTAATGTAGTGCATAATAGATGTAATGAATTCCGCGTAGTCTTTGAAACACACACACACTTGGCAATCTAAACACTTATTTTCAGTGTAATGTACTTATTCATAGAAGCAGACAAGTGAAAGGGAAACGCTCCATTAAATATAAGCAACACACATCCAAATTGGTTAGATTTACTGCCGGGAAGTTGTGCCTATTGCCCCGCCTGGTGGAGCCATCTTTCTGTTTCGAACATATTTTAAGATTCCTGCTCTACCCTTTTCACCAATAATGTCCATTCACTCCTTTAGGCTGAACTGAACAACCAAGGCTTTGGTAACGAGCTGCCATTTGTTGATCAGCAACTGGAACACCACCAGCTCTTTACTAAAGAGGTTGAAACAATTGGGGACCACATCAAGAAGAATGAAGACCAGGTAAAGTCAAGCAGTCAGCAGGTGAAATGCAACTGTACTGCAGAAGGGGAAAACTTACTGAATGTCATTACAGACTACTTCGATTGTATGGAGAATAAATATTCACATGAACATTACCATAAGTTGATGGTAGCTTAAATGATGATGGCACTGGAAAAGACCTGGATGCATGCTCCAATGACAGGAGTTCAAATCCTACAATAAGTTTTTCTTATGAAGAGAAATTAAGCAGTTTAGGCTTACACTATCTAGTTTAGAAGAATGAGAGGAGATCTAATTGAGGTATATAAGATATCTAACAGGATTGACAGTAGCTGTAAGAAGGATTTTAACTCGTGGGGCAATCTAGAACAAGAGGTCATAGTTTTAGGATAAGATTTAAAACAGACAGCGATGAGGAGAAATCGCTTCTCACAGAGGGCTGTGAATCTGCGGAATCCATTCCCCCTCCCCCCCCCCCCCCGAGTGCGGTGGATGCCTGGATATTGAATAAATTTAAGGAGGAAAAGGAACGATTTTTAATTAGTAATGGATTGAAGGGTTGTGGAGAGCGGGCAGGAAAATGGTTTCAAGGCTGAGGTGAGTTCAGCTATGATTGTAATGAATGGTGCTGCAGGCTCCCAGAGTTGAATTGCCTATTCCTGCTCCTAGTTCTTATAAAAAATTGAGACACAATCAATTAATAAATCTGGAATAGAATGCTAATCTCACTAAGAATGAACACAAACCTTCCAGAATGTGGCAAAAACCCATTAGGTTCCCTGCAAGAAAAGAAGTTTGTCCTCTTTACATACTCTTAAGTGTCTTCAGAATGATGTAGCAAACCGTTTTGTTTTCGGTGGCACATCGCCACCTGCTGAAGGGTAATTAGAATGGGTAATAAGCCGGCCTTTCAGGCCATACACCTATCCCAAGACTAGATACAAAATAAAATTGTCGCTGGTGAAATGAATCACTGTCCTTGCAATCACATCCATCAAGAGTGATACTTCAGGAATATTTTGTAATGAAAGGTAAAACCATTGTAACTAAAATTTGAAAATTAAACTAAAAGGGCTCAAAATCTGAAATAAAAACAGCAGATATCAGAAACACAGCTGGTTAGGGTCTATCCCTGAGAAACTGAGATGACTTTTTTTGGGCCAACTCTGAGAACTCACTTCAATGAAAGTTGTATCACTTCAGGATTCAGCTGGTGGTTACGTGTGTATGAGCTTTGTTCTCAAATTGTCAAAGACTCAGGTACACTCTCCTCCTGTCAACTGTGTAATTATCCACATGAGAACATCTCCCCATTTACAGCTTTTATCAGGGAACTAATATACTTCCAAATGGAACCCTGTCCTGGGAGGTACACTTACTTATCTATCACTTCATTTCCACTTTCAACAGGACTACATCAGTGGCATTCAACTGAAGTACAACAAACTGTTGGTGAGTATGAGAATGGAAAACACATTCTAAATTTCTAAAGCATAAGCACTGAGACACTGGCATTGTGGGACAAAACCCATACTCAGAATCTGAGATGGCTAACTTCAAAAAGACTCTTTATTACAAGCAGAGATAGTAGGAACTGCAGATGCTGGAGAATCCGAGACAACAAGGTGCAGGGCTGGATGAACACAGCAGGCCAAGCAGCATCATAGGAGCAGAAAGGCTGACGTTTCGGGCCTAGACCCTTCATCAG